CAAGACTAGCGGCATTGAGAGAGTTAGGCAGCTTCGCTCAAACAATAGACACGTTGTAGTAGGGGGCTGGCGAAAGCCAGAGTTGACCCACTTGCCGTTGTTCTTTTTGGTTTGACAGCTCAAGACCGCTTCAAAACAAACCTCACAGCGTTTTGGCGCGCGCAGCTTTCTCGTTGTCCTTGTTCGAGCTCAGGAAAGGACCTCATGAAGTGCAGCATGTTCAGTACAGTATCTGACCACCTATGATTCCCAGCATTCTCCTCTCAACCTCTTCCCTTTGCCCGACCGTCCACCATCTTGCATCCTCGACCCCAATCCACACTCTCAGCAACGCTTCCTTCACCAGTCCCTCCACACCCGTCTTCGCGTCCATGAACAACACCAAAGCGTCGAGGAAAGTGAGGGAAAGCTCTGGTGGGGTCGCAGGGAGCGCGAGGGAGGAGGTGAAGCGGTGTAAGAGGGTCATCGCGAGTCGGTGGACGACGGAGGGGTGGGAGGGGGAGAGGAACGGGACGAGGATGAAGAGGAGGGAGGAAAGGGATTCAACTGGGGCAGTGATCAAGAGCTTGACGAGCTGCGAGAGCCAAGGTCGTGTATGCGTGAAAAATGGCGGAAGGAGACCGACCACGTCAGCTTGACCTCGCCCCCACCGGAGAAGCCAAACGACCTATGAACTCGAGCGCACCTTGTCCTCCAACTCGACTAAGTCTACTTCTTGACCCTGTGCTACTCTGTTGACCATCTCGCCCACCACAATCCAACCTTCCAAGTCGTCGTCGCCTCGTTCGGGCGCTTCGTTCAAGTGGACGCTGGGGCTACTTTGAAACGACCCAGATCCCGACTTCGGCAGGGGAGGAGGCAGAGGTCTCGGAGCGGGGTTATAAGTCGGACTGAAGGCAGGATGAGCGGTAGAGAACGAGCGAGACGAGTTTGAGCTGTGTTGAGCTTGACTTGCTATGTTCGCTCATCGAGGGGTCAGCGAGCAGCGCAAGCGTGGGCAAAGGGACGTACGTCGAGCAGGCGGCGAAGATAATAGTTTAACTAGTCGAGTAGTGACTAGGTCGGTAAAGTCTAAATGCGAAAGATCTGTCAGTTCAGCTCAGAGGGGGTCGGAAACGCGCGAAAGAGGGGCGCCGCACCTCCGAGCGCGAGTCGAGGCGCAGGAAGTGAGCGGTACAGCGCGTCGATTTCGTAAGCCTGTTCAGAAGTATAGTCAAAATTGAAGGAAGTATAGATGGGTTTAGAAAGGAGGACGGACGAGGATGAGTGAGAGCTCGTCGTGCGTCGAGGCGACCATCGCGGTGCCACTCTGAATCGAGTCGCACGAGCGCGACGGCTACGACGTCGACGTCGACGGGCAGAAACGACCAGTCTCGGCCGGTCGTTCGGAGCTCGATATGATCAAAAAGGACGGTAGAAAATTCGGTTCGAACGAGGGCGACGAGCGAGGATGCGGGCGAAGGCGAAGCCGGGGCGGCCAAGTCGACGTCGAGACTTGGGCACGAAGGTTGGCCCCCCCGACCCCTCGCATCCGCGTTCTGCTTTTGTTCGCATCAACCACGAACGATCGTCAATTGTCACATATCTCTATTCAATCACTATCGTGAGTTCATGCCCTGTGTCGGCGAACGCGCTGCTGCTTCTGTCGTGCTCCTCTCGCCTCTCCTCGTCTCCTCGTCGTCCATGCTTCAACGCGGCACTCCTTAAAGGCCGGCCCAATCAATGGAGCAGCAGACGCGAGCATACGATTGTATGGTATGCCGCTGGTGAGTATAGCAGAGCACTGACGATCTTCCGCCTCTTCTTTGCGCAACGACAGGACCACCTCCCCACGACGACCGCGCTTCCTCGCATCCTCTCCACTAACGAAACGGATTCAGCATGGGTCGCCACGCCAAAAAGTATGCTCTTCTTAGCCTTCATCACTCATGCACATCTCCGCTCACAATTCCCTTTCCCTTCCCCTGCCCTACCCCGATCTCCTTCCCTCCCGCCCATCTCCCTCAATCTAACCTCCACCGCGACTCTAGCAACACCAACGGCTCCAACTTCACTCACTTTGAGAGGCAGCAACTGGGTCAAGGCAGCAAGAAGGAACGACTCGGCCGCGATGCGATGAAGAACTTCAATGCGTGCTCGCTGTGCCTCGAACGGGCGAGGGATCCCAGGGTGTGCGGCGAGGGACATGTCTTCTGCCAGGTGCGTTTCTGTGCCTCTATCTATATCTTTCTACCTTCAGATTTGTTGTATTGGAAAGAATGGGCCCGCACGACCAATCGCGGGCATGGCAGGCAGTCGCTGATCACCACCCTCCCTCGCGCGTCCACGTCCCCCCTCACAGGAGTGCATCATCTCCTCTCTCCTCTCCCAAAAGTCCTCCATCAAGCGCCAAACTGCTCTTCTCGCCCAACTCCGCGAATCCGAAGCGACCGCTCTCGCTGCTGCCCGCCAATCTGCTCGCGAACGCGTCTTGAGGGAGTTCGAAGCCGCCCAGAGTGGGTTGGGTAAGGGGGGTGTCAAGGGGAAAGTCGTTAGTGGTGGATTGAGGGAGGGAAGTGAGAGTGGGGCGAGTACGCCGACGGTAGGAGGAAAGAGGAAGTTTGAGTTGGAGGAAGGGGAGATTGAGAGGTTGTTAAGGGAGGGGGAAGAGGAGGCGCTGGGGAGGATCAATAAGGAGTTGGAAGAGAGTAGGAAGGCAAAGTTGCCGAACTTCTGGCTGGTCCGTTCGCTTCTTTCGTCTGTTCATTTATTGTGAGTGGTGCTGACGAGTGTCCTGGCCTGCCGACAGCCAAGCTTGACGCCAAACGCTGAGCCAACGCCGTTGGAGGAGGTCAAACTTCAGACGCTATGCACAGTCGAAGGAAAAGGACATCCTCTCTCGTGCGTCCTGGTCTTGAAGCAATCTCGACCTCTGGCCCGCATACTGACCGGTCCTCCCCTCGCAGGCTCAAATCGCTCACGACGATCAAGTTCACCGAGGACGAGACGGACAGTGCTCCCGTCGGAGAGCGCCACTGCATTTGCCCTGTGTGCCGCAAAGGGTTGACAAATAACGTCAAGGCTTTTGGTGCGTTTCTCTCGCTGATTCTTGGACATGGGCAGAGGTGCTGACGTGGCATGCTTCGTGATGCAGTGATGAAGGCGTGTGGCGATGTTGTGTGGTTCGTTCCCCTCTTCTTCCGGTATCTCTCAAGTGCCTGACTCACCTCTCTCACACTTCACAGCACCACCTGCGTGACAACGCTCTGCATCCCCGACTCGTCCTGCGCGGCGTGCAACACCCCCTTCCCAGCTCCCAAGAAGGCCAAAGAGGCAAAGGAGGGTCAGCCGGCAAAGAAGGCAAAGAAGGAGGAGACATCGAGCGGCGTGATCGAGTTGAAGAGAGAAGGAACTGGGTTCGCGGCTGGGGGGATGGTCGAGGTCAAGAAGTACGATTTGGCGTTCCAGGGTTAGTTAGAGGTGCATGGCCGTTCAGCGTACTGGAAATGGGAGGGGGAGAAGATGGGGTTTGTGTAAACAGTGGTAGATAGCGGCTGCAACAAGGCGGCCGAAAGTTAGAGAAGACACGACACTGAGAGGCACGGCCGCTGGGTCGACTCTCTTGCGCACTGCATCATTCAGAGCTCCAAAAACGATACCGTTTGAGAGAGAAGGAAAAAGGAAAAGTACAGCGCCGCCCTTGCGTCTGATGTCCTCGTGCAGTCTTCCCACACCAAAAAAAAGTAAATCCTTCCCGGCCGGGAATCGAACCCGGATCACAAGCGAACACGCATCCGAAAATGACAAGCTTGTATACTGACCGTTATACGACCGAGAATTGAGTAGATATCAGCCGGGCTCAAAATGACATACACATCATGTTCGCTCTATATTTGCCAAACGGCCTGGGTAGCTTAGCGGTGAGCTACAGGTGTCAGTTGTTTCGTAGGTTGAGCAACTGTCGTGGGTTCGAATCCTACCTGGGCACCAAGCTCGCGGGTTAAGGGGGCCCAATTCAGAGCAATCTCTGCCGTATTCCAAGACCTTATCAAACCTTCCGGGAGTTTTAGTGGGTAACAGCTTAAGCTGAGTCCCACACTACCAATCACTCTATTGGTGTGCGTAAAGCATTTCTTCCTTTATCTCCTTCTTCTCTTGCTGTAGTCGAGTAGCTCCTGCAATAAGAGTCGTTAGATACAAAAAAAAAGTTTTTCTGTTTTCGAACAACACACCAGCGTTTTGTTGGTAAGATGTGGGATTGTTGTAGGTATACCGCGAGAACGGGCGAAAAAGCGTTGTAGCGGCGACAGTAGTAGCCGCAGGACGGCAACCGAAAGCCCGAGCGGGACGGCTCCGGAACTTCGATGGGGAGGAGAGGAGTGATGGTGGTGAATTGTCTTGATATTGAGAGCTTCCAGATGTGGTGGATGTAGCGGATTTGGAGGAGGAGGGAGGGGAGGGTGGGTTTGGAGGGAGAGGTTGGGCAGATGAGTTGCTGCAGGGTGGAATGGGGCCGGGTGCCTTCTGTTGCTAGTTTCCGAATTTCCGTAGATCCTTCGCATTATATGAAAATATGGATAATGGACTCAGCTTTGCTGGTCAGGCAGACCCTGCAGTGTGGAGTGGAGTTGTTGGGGAAGGAGGCTGTGCTGGAGGAGGGTTCGGCTGCTACCTGGGTTCCTGCGTGGAGGAATCGAAGGGATAGGAGGTAGGCTGTGTTGGTCTGGTCTGGAAGGATGTCTCGTGGCCTTTTGAGGAAGTTGCACCAATTTTCCAGTGTTGAGCCTGGAAAGAGGGCAAGGGGGGCCAGGGGGGATAGATTGTGGAGTAGGAGTCTTCAGTGAAGGAAGCGGTGGACTTGGCAAAGGAAGTGACACTCACCTGGTTACCACTCCGTGAATCACGGGACCATTTGGAGAGGATAGCCATTTTTCTTTCTTTCTTTTTTTGTGCCAAATTTTCTCACTTTGAAGGGCAGGCCTCCCAAGCGACACTTGGTGCCACGTCATCAACCTAAGAACTTCTCGGTCGTATAACGGTCAGTATACAAGCTTGTCATTTAATCATTAATTGCCCGCTTGTGATCCGGGTTCGATTCCCGGCCGGGAAGCAAGTGAATTATCTTTTTTTGCGTCCTATAAAAACGCGTTCTGTGAGCGCGGGAGCCTTTCCCTTCTGACAATGTCTCGCTTTTTTGCACAGCTCTCGATCTTCCTTTTGAGGGGACTACAAAGTCCCTTGCTGATTCTCATGCTTCAAAAAGAGGCAGGCACACACGAGCTAATGACTCTACAGCCACGTCACTCGCTCCTCACCTCTCTCTCCCCTCCTTCCACCTTCCCTCTGACCCCACCACTGCCTTTAAGTCCTTCTAGCGCACTGTGACTCCTCCCATTCCCCTCCCCCAGCCTTGCCCTCCCAACATCCCCACTCCTCAACAACAACCCCTCAGCGACCTTCCTCCTCCTCTTCTCCCCCTCCCACCTCTCTCTCAACCCCTCCACTTCCTCATCCAACTCCCCCACTCTTCCTCTCAACACCGCCAACTCCCTCTCCAGCTTCTCCTTCTCCCCTTCTTGTCCATCCCTCGACTCTGCATCCGCGAGAGCCGCTTCAGCGACTACGAGGGATTCCTCGAGCTCCTCAATTCGAACATAGGCAGTTGAGAGTTTCTCTTTTTGTTCGACGAGTTTGGTGCGAACGCGGGACGAGATGGATTCGAGGGTGTTTTGGAGTCGGTGGATTTGGGAGGTGAGGGAGTGGATTTCGGCGTGGGACGAGGAGAGTTGGGATTCTAGGCTGTGAGAAAGTCGAGCGTCAGAATGTGGACGACACTAGGAAAGAGCAGCGCAACTATGAGAGGTGAAAGAGGCCCACCTCATTCGTTCCGCATCCCACTCTCGCCTCTCCTCATCCACAACCCCAATTTGCTCCCTTCCACACAGCGAGTCCCTCTCCCTTTCGACAGCCCTCAACATACTCCTCAAGCGCTCCACCTCTTCACTAAGCTCAAGCACACTCTTTTCAAGTTCTTCCTTCGAATAGCCGCTGCGATAGCGGTTGCCACGTCAGCGTGTAGCCTGTTGCGACACCAGGAGCGGAAGAGAAAGATGACGCACGTGGGTGGTGGTGAAATGGAAGAAGAGGATAGGACTCCGCCGTGGACGTCTAGCCCTGCTTTAGCGGCCTGCGAAGCGTTCGAACGTCGCGGTCAGCACTGAGGCGCGGAGGGCCTAGCTAGAATGGGCAATACGACTCGCCTCCTTTGCCAGCTTCGCAACTTCCTCTTCAAGCTTGAGCACTCGGGCAGTAGGAGCCTTGACTTGACTTGCTCTTGAAGACGTTCCGTCGCCGTGTTTCGCGGCCTACGAGGAGGGGTGCGCAGGAGTGAGCACGTGGCATCCGCCAACGACATGACGACAGAATCGCGCATACCAGGAAAGGAGTAGCGTCTTCAAAAGTGGAGGTAGCAGAAGTGCTGGGTCCAGGGCCCATGCCGACGAGTTCGTCCAAGCTCTTCCAGAGGGTCTGGAGTTCCGTCTTGCGACTGTCGCGCTCGACTTGAAGTCGTTCGATCTGGGCCAGCACGCCGTTTACAAAGAGGACATGAAAGCGACGGTCAGTTCATAGGTCACAAATACGTTCAGTAAAGTGATAGCAAATCTGGTACGCACCTCGAGATCCCGCTCGTCCAACAATCGCTCCGCCTCTCTCCTCACGCGTTCCAGCTCGCGCGACAGGTCCGCAATCAACGCCGCCGACGAAGTTTTGTGATGCTGACGTACAGTCTGCTGGCCTACATCACCATGATGCCTGATCTCTGGTCCCTCCAATCCACCGCCGCTGTCGTAGTCCTCCTCCGACCCGCTCTCGGACTTGCTCGCCCGCACCAACATCCTAGTCCCAACTTCAGCCCTCTCTCTCTTCCCATTCCTCCCTCCGCCACCACCAAGCTTCTCCCCCAATTCCTCTCTACACCTCCTCTCCTCCCTCCACCTCTGTTCCCAGACCCCACTGACGACCCTCGTCCTCGCGAGCTCCTGTTCCAGCGCTTCGATGGTTTTCGAATGTGTGGACCGGGAGGTGTGCAGGAGGGTCTGGGTGGACGAGAGAAGGGATGTGGTGGATTGGAGACGAGTGGTGAGGGACGAGAGGGAGGTCCGGAGCTGTTGGACCTGCATGGAGGGGAGGGTTAGCGGTTCTACCATCCGGGGAAAGCGAAGCAACGCACTCTGTCGCGACTAAGATCTAACTCCTTCTGTATTGTCTTCGTTCCTGAGTCTCCATCGCTACCGCGACCGAGAGCGAGGGCATGGAACGCCCGCACGAGCCTCGGCGAGCGCTGGAGGAGCGCCAGGTCCGAAGGCGAGAGCGCGAGCGGGACGGAAGGGTCGACGTGGGAGGCTAGAAACGAGACGAGCTCTACTGGAAGCCGGCTAGAGGACTCTGAGGGCGCTACTGGCGGCATCGTCCGTAGGGCGAGTGTTGGGAGGAAGTGAAGGGAGGAGCTTCCTGAGCGGTGAGGCTTGGGCTGATGAGGTCTACACGTGACTTTGTTGTTTGCGTCGACCTGCTGGTGCTAGGTTGTCGTCAAATACAACATAATTTGAGTTGAAGGTACGAAATCGATGGTAGAGATGCTATCAAACTGCACAGTAGGGCTCCAGAGGAGGCTCATGAGCTTGTGCTCCGAGAACAACTAGAGTGAGGACCACGTCAACAAAGGAAGCCTTGAGCTCAGAGCGAGTCGCATCATGCTGAGTGTAGAAACGTTCAAATGCTGACGAGGCCCACAGGCTTTTCGATGGTTGCGCTCACTAGCGGTAAACATCAAGTCCTCATACCACTTCCTCTCATTCACCACGTCCCGAAACGCCCTCATCACGATCATTGATTGTTTACAAGCCCACTCAGTCCTACTAGGCCTTAGCCTTCGGCTTACACTCATCCCCACACTCCCTGATAATACACCCATTCCCATTCTTCTCCCCATTCGCACCGCCTTCATCAGCCTCCGAGAACGCCACCGCCAGCCTCTGTCCATCAGCAGAGAACGCGAGTGCCGAGATCGGGGAGGGGTATTTCGGGAACTGGCGGAGACGTTTTTTGGCGGTCGGGTCCCAGAGCGAGACGGTGCAGTCGCCGCCGCCGGTTGCGAACGTCCCGTGGCTGGTGTCGCACAGGAACAAGAACGTTAGCTAGAGTTGGGATGGGTGGGCGAGAGGAGAGGTGGGGACGAACACTGGGTTGAAAGCGAGGCCTTGGACTGGGTAGACTGTGTCGACGCCTTCGATGACTTGACGGTGGCATTTGAACGCGTACTTCTTGGACTGGGCGGACGCTTCCGAGTTGAAGAACTCGACCGCGACGCGGCCTTCTATTGAGGTCGTGACGTAACCTGTCGACACTCATCGTCAGCTTACTAGTCTTGCCAAATGAGAAGCAAAGCTTCAAAGTCGAGAACGCACCCTCATCGCCAGGCATACACTTGACGGCCCTCGTCATGAACTTCAACGAGCTCTCCCTCTTCTGCCACGGCTGGATCTCCTTCCCTTCCGTCCCAGCCTTGACCGCTTCACCCAGAGCAGCGATGTCAAAGATCCAGATCGCACGATCGGCCATCGCGACGACGATTTTGGAGGGCGAGAGAGCGAGAGAGTAGACTTTGCCAGGGAGGGGGATGACGGTGCTGGAGAGGGGAGTGGAGGGGGAGGTGAGGCGGAGGGTGGAGTCCCAGGAGGCTGAGAGGACGAGGTCTGGGTGTGTTTGAGGGAGGGTTAGGGACAGGAAGGGAGGACGCGGGCTGGGAAACACAACAAAGGAGGAACAACGCACCGAGGTCCGCGAGGTACTCGACGCACTTGACCGCATCCTCATGTCTAGCGATCACAGTCTCTGTCCCACTCGTCAAATCAATCCTGCCCACACCAACACGATCAGCACGCGCGAGGATCGTTGAACCAGAAGCTCCAACTCACGATTTGACCTCCTTGCCTAGTCCTCCCGCATACACCAGAGTCTCCGAGTTACCCCAAGCGACATCGAGAACCGCTCCTCGCTGCTTGAACTTCTTCGCTGCAGAGACTTGCTTCAGGTTGTGCAGGTAGACGTTCTGTTCGAGCGCGCGCGCGTTAGCTCTCGCGCTCCTCGTCGTGCAACAGTGTGCCAGAGGGGAAGGACTGACAGAGTCCCATGAGCCAGTTACGAGGAGGTCGGGGTTGGTAGGGTGGAACGCGACGGCAGAGATCGAGTCCGGGTAGGGAGGGAGTTGTGTTTCTGGGCGAGAGGAACGGTAGATCGGTGGTCAGTGAATGAGATTACGTTGGAGTAGGACCTGATTGAGGAGGGTAGCTCACCTGTGCCGCTCATTGTTGTTGGTCAGAAACTAGTGCAAACTGTGAGGTGAGGACGCACCGCGAGTTGAGCGCGAGCTGCCGTCGAAGTCGGGGCGTGGAGGCCGGCCCCCTGTCTGACTCTTCCTTTACTTTCGCGACACGGTACGTCGATACTGAGCAAGCTATACCTCAGTAGTTGTCCAAAATAATCCACTTTTTTTTCTTTCCTTCGTCTCCAGATTCAATGGTGGAATGCTTAAGGCAAACCAGGGCGCGGCCGACAGCTGTCATTGCCAGAGTCCACTGACGTGGCCCTAACTACTTGCCCATCCATTCCAAGTCACAAGTATTCCCGCTGAATTCCATGCTATCCCGCTTGATCCCCACGACCGGCGCGAAGAAACTGAGCCACGTGTGCCCCAACACCCCCAAATCTCCCCGCCTCGTCCGTCATCCTCCTTCCTCCAACCACTTCGCGCATCCCCCCGCCGTCGCACCCACCTCCCTCCCGTCACCCTCACCACCAGCAGCCATGTTCCGCCCCATCCTCCGCCAGGCCGCCCGTGTCCCCCGTACCGCCGTCCGCAACTCGAGCACGACCGCTGCCCACTCGGGCGAGGTCGCGATCGAGGGCTCTGGCCTCGAGTTTGTCAAGGAGCGCGAGGCGGTCAAGCACCACGCGGCCAAGTCTGGAGAGTTGTGGAGGAAGATCACGTGCGTGTCTCTTTTGTCTATGAGCGTTTGCGTCCGCTGCCGTGCGGTTCCTGGGTAGAGA